CAGATTGCAACACGTGTTCGTCTGATGCAAAGAAGTGTTTGACGTGCAAAGATCCGTTTATTCAGAAGAGTGGTGGTTGTGAAAGCTGTCCGATTGGCGAATACAAGTTCAGTGAAACAACGTGCTCAAAGTGTTACAACACAATCGACAATTGCAACACATGTGATACAATCGCTGTTGGCAAAGCAAGATGTAACTTGTGCATTTCCCCTTACGTTTTGAATGGCGCAAAATGTGGATTGTGTCAATCGAATGAATACTTTGACAACACAACAGGCACCCCAAAATGTGTTAAGAATGATATTAATTGTGATATTTTACTCGACAAAGAAAATTGTCTGGACTGCAGTGACACTTTCTTTGTTTCCAACTCAAAATGTGTTTCATCAGGAAGTTGTGAGTCACCAACTTTAACTTCGTGTGACTGTTCAGACCAAATATCGATCAACTCAAAATGTACAGCTAAAATGGATCGTTGTAAATACCAAAAATCCGAGAAGGGTGTCCCGACGTGTATTACATGTGTTGATGATAATATTCTGAACAACGGTGGTGTGTGTGAACAACAGAGTGTGTATTGGTTGGTGAGAAACGGAGTTGTTTTTGGTTGTAAAGCAGGAACGTATTTGACAAATCAAAACACGTGTGACAGCTGTGGTGGATCAAATGCAGTTTGTTCAACTCAAAACAAGTATTTGACATGTGGCGATCTTGCAATACTTGATGTACAACAGATGGCGTGCACCACCGATACGCAATGCAATTCAGTTGTCGATGGGCTGTGTGTCCAATGCAAAGAAAATGACATGGAAATTAGCAAAGGAAAGTGTTCGAAATGCGAGACTGAAAACTGTGATATCTGTGTTGGAGGAACGTGTCAAATATGCAAAGTGAATTACTTGATGTACAGCGCTAATCGGTGTGTTAACAAAGAACAAGTCAACTGTAAACGCACAAGCCAGAGTGGGTGTGCGCAGTGTGAGGCTGGGTATTACCAAGTTGACACAAAGAACATTGAAGGCAAGTACGACTTCTGCACAAAAGCGGATGTTGAGTTGCACTGCAAATACTACTCACTCAACAAAACAAAATGCATTGAGTGCCAAGACGCATTCAACATGAAAAATGGTGTGTGTGCTGAACAATTTGACGATGTCAATAAAGTCAATGAAACAAAGATGTCAGTGTATAACATGAAAAGTGCACTAAAAGAACAAGAAGAAGTCGACTGTTTGACACGAAACAACAAAGGGTGTCAGCGATGTCCAAATGGGTATTACCTGAACAAAAACAGTTGTGAGAAGTGTGTGAATGACTGTCTGAGTTGCTACAATGCAACATATTGCACCACATGTAACAGTGGATACTTCCTTGACTTGTCTATGAAATGCCAGACACTTGGTGAATTGGCGAAAAGGTGTGAAGTGACACTACCCGCTGGTGGAGGGTGTGCTATTTGCAAAGTTGGGTATTACAAAGTCGAGAAAGATTGTGATGCGTGTGACGAGTCGTGTGATATGTGTTTGAAGAAAGATGAATGTTTATCATGTAAAGATGGGTACTTCAAAATTCAAAGTGAATCAAACAAATTATGTTCATCAAACACTACACTCTCAAACTGTTTACAATCAAATCTCGAAGGGTGTTTACTTTGTAATGAGTCTTATTATTTACAAAATGGACGCTGTTTCTCATGTAAAGAAAGTTGTGTGACGTGTGTAAACAGTGAAGAGTGTTTATCCTGTAAAGTTGATGAAGTCTTAGTGAAAGGAAGTTGTGTAGATTATCACACGGTATTACATTGTACATCAGCATACAACTCTCAGTGTACTTCATGTGAAGGGAGTCACAAAGTATCAGATGATGGTGAAAATTGTGTTTCTAAGACGAATTATGGAATAGTTATTGGAATACCTGTAGCTATCTTTATTTTCTTTATAATCATTATCGCATTGATATTAGTAGTAGTTTACCTCCTCATATTAAGTCGAAAAGAGAAGAAGAAAATGAAAAACATCTGTGTCTTTGAAATGAAGCGATCGAACATTGAAATGGTTCAAATCAATTCAGTTCTATCTTCAAATAAGAAGTTAATTAAATTCAATTTGGAGGATGACTCTTCTATTCCAGTAGATGAAGAAACCCGTGATTTGATATGTGTTGGTAACACCACAAAACACAACATGAAAGTCCAATTTAGTGTATTAGAAGGGTGTGACCACTATGAAATACGAACGGTGCCTACTTTAATTACTTTAAAAAGAGGAGAAGCTTGTGAATTTGAGATATTCATCAAGCCGTTGTGTTCATGCCATTTAGAAGAAGACATTATGGTCATTGCACTTGACATAGAAACTGGTGTACAATATAATGAGAAGATCAAAGTCGAGACATCCACTGCGAACTCCACAAAATTGGATTATCATGAGTTGATTGATGAGAAGAAGCTTGGTGAAGGCTCTTTTGGTATTGTCTACAAAGGGAAATACCACGAAAAGACAGTGGCAATCAAGAAGATGAAGAACGCACAAGCGACGAAGAGTGCAATAGATGAGTTTACAAAGGAAGTTGCCATGTTAGACAAATTTAGAAGTGATTACATCATTCACTTCTATGGAGCGTGTTACATCCCAAGTCATGTGTGTATGGTCACTGAATTTGCGAAACATGGAAGTTTGGCCGATATGTTTAATAAAGAGCAACAAATAGCAGACAAGATGAAGGTGAAGATCATTTTAGATGCTACTTATGGCGTCAAATATTTACACGAAAATGGCATCTTACACAGAGACATCAAACCAGATAATATTCTTGTTATTACATTGGAAGAGAACATCAAAGCTAATGGCAAATTGACTGATTTCGGGTCATCTAGAAACGTCAATCAAATGATGACTAATATGACATTTACTAAAGGGATTGGGACTCCTAAATATATGGCTCCTGAAGTCTTGAACAAACAACATTATAAGATGTCATCTGATGTGTATTCTTTAGGAGTCACGTTTTATGAAGCACTTATATGGGGTGAAGCATATCCAAAACAAAAATTCAAATTTGCTTGGAGTATCGCAGACTTTGTAACAAGTGGAAAAAGACTGGAATGCCTTGACAATATGAACCAAGACGCTTACAACATCATTTCAATGATGTGGGAAGATGAAGCTGATAAGAGAATTAAAATTGAAAAAGTGGCAGAACAACTCCAGACGCTTTTTGAGTCGTTTTAGAGTCTAATATACTGGGTTTTGTGTTTATTATAATTATAATATTATTTATTATAATATATTAATATTATAATATTATTATAATTTATAATAATATTATTATAATATTATTAAAAATTGTTAAACTTCTATTAATTAATTCTTATTATTAATTGCAAACCATAATCAATGATAACAACATCACGAACACAAAGAATATCTCTGTTACAATGTTTACACTTTTAGAACCCGCCGTGCAGATTTTACATTTTTCTGAGACGAATGGCAATTCATATTGTTCTTTACAAGGGACACACTCTCCTTTTTCAACATACTTTCCTTCATCACATTGAGTATAATAACATCTGTCGAGCACTTAGTCGTAACTTGTTATATCCTTCTCACACTGTTTGCAAGCGTCGCTGGTTGTGTCGATAAATTGATTTTCGTTGCATTCCAACTTCTTCACTTTAAGCCCAATGAAAGTGTCTTGTGGGTATTTATTAAGTGCATAAACTGCTGTGTCTATGCACTTAATAAATAGTCACACCATTTGTTTCAATTTCAGCATCACTTGTTCCATGGTAATATATCACTTCTAATGTGTTTGAAAATGTGTCTATATTAATAACTTCAATATTTGTACCCAAATGTATCTTCTTCAGACTTTTGGTGTTCATAAATCCACCTCTTTGAATAGACTTCAATGTTACTGTACTTTATATTCGACAGGTTGGTGCATGTGTTATATGAATTTTTCTCGTATATCAATTGATTGTGCAACTCAATTGCTTCAATTTATAGCAGTTGCTTATAAATTGTAACTAGTCCATTTAAGTTTTTAGTAATTAATTAGTAATTTTGATTAAATGCATTTGGTAAGTAAGTTTTTTATGTAATAGTTTATTATTATTAAAATAACTTTATTAATACTATAACTATTATTTAACAAAACTTATAATAATAGTAAAATATATAATGTTATTTTGTTATTTCTTTTATAACTAATTTAATTCTATTGGTTTATGTTAATTAGTAAAACAAAATAAAATTAATAAAATTATACCATTATTTTACTAATTAAATAGTTTACCATTAAATAAATTAAAAATATTTTATTATTAAGAGAAAGGACGGACATGGGGACGAAGGACGGGAATATAGGCCGAAAGACGTCCTTTGTGGTTTAGGGACGTCCTCCCGCTATAAAGGACGTCCTCCCTGTGTATATGGTGTCCTTTCTATTATTTTCGTGTCCGCGGCATTTTTTATTCATTATCGAAACTATATAACGAAGTATATTTTTATTATAAATATACAATCAAAAAATATAATTATTTCCAAAAATAAATTAATTCAAAGACAAAAACTATTTAACAAGTAATTTTGTTATATATTAATGGTTTATAAAAAATTATCATTTTTTTTTCATTTTAC